CCCCCCTGCTAAGGGGTGGGGATGTTGGAGGCCATCGCTATTAGGTTGGAGGCCATTGCTATTAGGTTGGAGGCCATCGCTAGTAGGTTGGAGGCCATCGCTATCAGGTTGGCAGGCCATCGCTAGTAGGTTGGCAGGCATCGCTATTGTAGGTTGGAGGCCATCGCTATTGTAGGTTGGAGGTTGGAGGCCATCGCTATTAGGTTGGAGGCCATTGCTATTAGGTTGGAGGCCATCGCTTGTCGGCCATCGCTATTAGGTTGGAGGCCATCGCTATTGTAGGTTGGAGGCCATCGCTATTAGGTTGGAGGCCATCGCTATTGGGGTTGGAGGCCATCGCTATTAGGTTGGAGGCCATCGCTTGTAGGTCAGCGGCCATCGCTATTTGGTTGGAGGCCATCGCTAGTAGGTCGGCGGCAGGCCATCGCTATTGTAGGTTGGAGGCCATCGCTATTGGAGGTTGTCAGGCCATCGCTAGTAGGTTGGTAGGCATCGCTATTGTAGGTTGGAGGCCATCGCCATTTGGTTGGAGGGCATCGCTATTGGGTTGGAGGCCATCGCAGTTAGGTTGGAGGCCATCGCTATTAGGTTGGAGGCCATTGCTATTAGGTTGGAGGCCATGGCTTGTAGGTTGGCGGCCATCGCTATTAGGTTGGAGGCCATCGCTAGTAGGTTGGCAGGCCATCGCTGGTAGGTTGGAGGCCATCGCTATTGAGGTTGGAGGCCATCGCTATTAGGTTGGAGGCCATCGCTTGCAGGTCAGCGGCCATCGCTATTTGGTTGGAGGCCATCGCTAGTAGGTCGGCGGCAGGCCATCGCTATTGTAGGTTGGCAGGCCGTCGCTATTAGGTTGGAGGCCATCGCTAGTAGGTTGGCAGGCCATCGCTGGTAGGTTGGAGGCCATCGCTATTGGGGTTGAAGGCCATCGCTATTAGGTTGGATGCCATCGCTTGTAGGTCAGCGGCCATCGCTATTTGGTTGGAGGCCATCGCTAGTAGGTCGGCGGCAGGCCATCGCTATTGTTGGCAGGCCATCGCTATTGTAGGTTGGAGGCCATCGCTATTTATTGTAGGTTGGATGCCATCGCTGTTGTAGGTTGGAGGCCCGCGCTTGTAGGTGGGAGACCATCGCTACTATATTCCAGCGCTATTCTTTGCAATCCTTTGGTATGTTTGATTGTCGTTTTCATCCGACCTCAAGCCTTTGCGGCCTGCACGGTAAAAAGAGGAGAAAGAACTACTTGAGAATTGGGGCGATATGTCTAAGGATCTCATTCCACAATCCCCGCCTTACAGGAGGGTGCAAGAAAATAGGACCAGCATCGTTGGCCGATTTCTGGTTTGCACCATGCAGGAGATGATGGAGCATCCCGAGTTGCTGGAGGCCTTTATACCTTTATTGAAGTCTTTTTAGATTATTGCATGATTCGAGGTTGTGAAAGTTGCTTCTAGGCTGTGGACATGGCTGGCTGGACACCTCTACATATAGCAGTGGATTGCCCAGTTCAATTCATTCGACCTGCGGTTTCGACATTCAACTTCCCTGTCGTCAGCTTTGAGGTTCATGTCGGCAGGAGGGAGGTGGTCATCAGACTGCTTCAGGTGGGATTGCCTGCCGGTCTCTTCGGAAAGTCAAGGAGTTGTTATATAAGATGTTGCTCAAAGGAGTTGTTTGTGTTATCGAGGCCGGTGCGAAGCTCAATCAGAGGAACAGCAAAGGGCAGGCGTTGGGCACCGCAGAAGGTGTCAAGTGTCAAGGGTTGAACAGCGCGAGGAAATTGAAAGGCAAAGCCGCAAGCGCCAATTCAGGACGAACCAATTCTCTGGATTGCTTGGGATTTGCCCTGTTCGATCATGGCAAGAGATAGACTCGAAATGGCCAGGTGCCGTCAGAGCTTTGCGCCGACAATGGCACCTACGAGGCGTTCGCATTTGGCCATTAACGGTTGGGCCTTTGAATTTTCCCTGGGTTGGGCCTTTTCTGCTTCGCGGAAACAGTCTTACTCGTCCCTGTGTTTGTTATTGCTTGGAGAAGTGGGATCGAATCTCTCGGGATGCAGTTTGTTCAGAACTGATCCAGACCCCTTCCAGGCTATCCGCTCCTATGAGCTGCATCAGCATCTCGACTGTTTTGGGCTGCGGTGGGCTTGCATTCACAATTAATTTCGACCATTCTGAGACATCAGTGTAAACAGTTGGGTAGAGGCGGTAGAGGCCATAGGTTCCACAGGGACCGCAGGGGTAGAGTTGACAACGAGACTTTACAGGGACCGCGAACCGCTGTAAGTGGTGGAAGTTTTCGAACCAAAGGTTGGTGCTCTCTCGAGAGATGTCTCAGGCAACAGTCACCGCATGACACTTGGGACTTCCCTTTGGACTCCAACCAAGCTGAGGCGTGGTTTTGAGGGGTGCGTGGTCTCTCTAAAGTCGACTGCCGATCGTTGACTGGTTCGTTCCATGCTGAGTCATTGTGGACCTACATTCTTGTCATTGAGTCATGGCATTTAGAGATTTGCTGAGGCAACAGAAAAAGCGGACATCAATTCGTCGCCCTTGTTTGGTAGAGTTTTCTGCTTTGTGATAAGCTGTGGAGGAACAGACCAGGGAAGAGGTACTTGGTAAAAGCAGACTGTGTATACTCCATGCAACTTGAGGTCAAACAATATATTAAATATATTTCATCCATTGATTGAGGCCGTACCAGTTGAGTCTATGTAGGATGTGGGAAGCTCCTGCTTGAAACCTCCAGGACATTGTGGGAAGTCGCTTGCAGTATGAGCCCTTCTTTGTGCCGAGACAACCTGTCATACGGTCACAGCAGTTCAAGAAGGAGTGCACACTGGAGGGCAGTTTTTTAATAAATAAACTCTCCACATTGGCAAAGGTGCCACCTTCATACCGCAACAAGTATTCAGGTGCAAGCAAGTCTAAGCTGCCTTGTTGGCAGAACAAGCAGTTTCCTTGTGAAGCTTGTCTATGTGAAGAGCCAATCCAATCTTCAAAAGCTCATGATGTTGTTTGATTGAATCACTGCTGACAACCTGCGAAATGATGTCATGGAGTGACAACATTTTTTGGCGCTGGAGTGAACTTTCATGATCGCTGCCAAACTTGCCCAACTTTGGGGGATTCTCGGTGCCCAGGAGTTTCAACGCATTGGCACTCTAATCTTCAACCGCCAGTGCGCCTCCAAGCGTACTGTGGAGAAGCAACAGTATTTCTTGTTTTTGGAGATTCTCATGACAAACTGAAGCAAGAGCCTTTCCAACCTCAAACGAGGCTTCAGTTACTTCAGTTGGAATTGGAGATTGCTTCAGAGTACACACGATCTAACCCCTTGTGGCTGAGCTGTGGTGTTGACTCTGCACCTGCTGCAGCTCGGACGGAGGCCTGGCTTTGGCTTGGCTTTCCTGGTGGCGAGTGGTGTGGCCCGCGACTATCCCGTTTGGAGCCAAGTCGGTCCGAAATGTGCCTTTCCTGCGCTAACAGTCACTGTGTTTTCCGCAACCCACCAAAGAGCACTTAGAGCACTTCCTTTCTTCCCCAATGCTTGGCAAAGGTGGACATGTCCACTTTTCTCCGAAGAAGTAAAGTGCGGGACTTGGCTGAAACAGTGTGAAGCAGTGTGAGGAGCTGGACCACTGCTCCAAAGATGTGCCCTTAGACAGTGACTCTGAAATCCAAATTCAAATCTAAACTCTAAACCCAAACAAAGGATGGCTAGGACTATCCCTTGCCAATTCTCAGCTAAGCTGTGACATGTATGTAGATTTGTGCAGGAGAGCATGGTTCAGAAGCGCTTTCATTGGCAGAGATGAATTGTGTTTTCTCTCTTCAGCCGTCCAGTCTCGTATGCTTGGGCAGGTTGACATAAAGCAGGTTGGGAACTTCCTGGGCGAGGCAGACATCGGGTGTTCCAGTTCCAAGGGTTTCCATTATTAAATCTCTAGGACCTCTAGGAGTTGTGAGAGGTGGGAGTTGGGAGTCTGATTGGTAGTTTTTCAGGCTCTCCTGCTCGAACCTGACCATTGCATTTCCTCACACACACACACATTCTAGCTAGCTTCAAGATGCGCGGCAAACCCTGACACCTGCACCAGGCGTTCTCGCTGTCTCACACAATACGGCTGGAGTTCTTGAATTCTGTAGTCTCTTGGTTGCACTAGGCCTTCTATTCACATAGTGGGTGACACACTGACTGTGTAAGCTTTGAACCTGAGAAGGAAGGTTTCCCGGGAGCTTTTGGCATCAAGTTTGTCACTAGAAACTTTACAAAGACCTAGGGTGCTCCTGCTAAGGGTTACAGGGTGCTCAAGGCGAAATGTATTCTGTTGATATGAAGTAGATTAGAACACCTGTGAAGTAGACTTCAGCTTACACACCCTGCGATGGCCTGAGGTTCTGCAAAACACTGGTGTGGTTTCTGCGCTCATTCAGGCTGAGAACAAAGTGTTTGTCACAAGAAGCTGCTGGTCAAGTGAGTTGAGTGATGAATGTGTGTTAGAATTCTGAGATACAGTACTTTGCTTTGAGAGAGTCATTGTGCTCTAACTCCATTAGGCACTGCAGTGAAATGTCCTGGCTGCTGTTGAAAAGAGTACATGCGTTTGTGTCTGTTGCAAGTTGCATGTTTGTTTGTTTTCCAGAGTGCGTCATGTCAAGTACGGTATGTCGTGACATAACATTACCCTCTAGACTCTAGTTACGTCCGGGAGCTTGTGTTCACAGGTCTTCCATATGCTTCAGCTGCCGGATGACTTGTGCCCAAGAGCCTGTTTGGAGGGAAGGGATGTCAGATGTCACCAGATGATTCTGCGGATTGGCAGACATCGAATCGTCGGATTGATTCGTGATGATGACTCGCCTACTGACAAAAGGGGGTAACGAGACGCACAGAATCGCCTAGCTCGGACAGTTTCAGTCCTCGCCCCTTGTAGCTCTTTATATAGCCTTTATACTTGTCTCTGGGTACTCAAAGACGTGGGATTTGGAGACTTGTGGGGAAGCACGATAAGAACAAGGAACCGCATGACTGACAGATGGACTTATATATATATAATGCAGACAGTATGGAGTTACTCAGTAGCGAGTACCTGCATTTGCGCGCTCCCCTTAAAAAATGGGCTGCCCAAAGCATGGTGACCAGGCAGAAGATCAATCGGCTGGTGCATGGAGTGGCAAGGATATGGTGGAGGTGGGGCTCATTTCCTGACACATGATGGACTCACAAAACTAAATACAGTATTTGAATCTGACATGAGGATATGATGGAGTTGGGGCATATATTGTATTTACATAAACATGTACGATGTGTGTGTGTGTGCGCGCGTGTGTATGAACCTGTTCAAGTTCCATGCTGATGCTGACCTCTCGAATTTGTTAACTGTTAGGGGGACTCTCCCTCGGTGTTCATGCATTGTTTCATGTATTGGCCAGCCTTGCATCTTGGGGTGAGTTTGTTTTGCACGAGCAGCTCCAGCTGAGCTTGGAACCAGAGCCATAGATCCACAGTGTGAGGCAGCATGAGAGGATGCAACGAGAGTCTTCTGGAGCCAGAAACTGAGCTGGTGGGGGTGAAGACACGGCTAGACTAGACAAATGAAGGCACTACGCCTGGGTTTGAACAGGTGCAATGTTATGGAGATTCTCACCCTAAGATGAAGGCACTTTTCATTCACGCAACAGTAGGTCCAGGTTGAGACAGTCACACTCGAGGTGGTCCCAGCTCGCAGCAAGCCAGCCCCAGAGAACGGGAACGTGCTTCACTTGTCTCAGGCGCCAGTGCTTACATGAGCAACGAGACTTTAAGCTGAGAGCATACAAGGTGATTGCTGTTTGTGGTTTCCCTTCCTTTGTGCATGTATCTGTGCGGAATGGGATGGCTGGACTGGCAGAGGTTTTCTCCAAATCGATATGCATGTGGCCCCACTTACTTTCCAAGTTGTGCAATCAAGACTGTATCAAATTCTTGGTACCTCTGTTTAATGGAGCACTTGGGTCCCTAATGCAGGATTCCTGCGAGGTTTTGGTGGGCCCTTGGGTCTGAAAACGACTGCCTTATGTCTTGGACTCTACTACCCATTGCTAGTCAGTCTCTCAGACTCACGGTGCTACTAATCAAAGGAAGTTCCGACGCTGCCAAACACTTGCATGAGCGCGTACGTGCAATTGATGAACTGGTCAAGCAGTCTGCCGATTTGCGTCGTGGCGAAACCGACTCTGCCTCACTTTTGCTCCGTGGAAATCTGAACATTTCCGCATGGCACATGGCCCTGCCAATGCGATTAAACCTGGAGTTGCGTGACCAAATTGAACCACGTGGCGTCACTGGAACTGCGACAAAACAACAGCATGGCACACCGACAGGACCAGCCAAACCACGATGTCATGGGAGACAGCACCGAGACCCTAAGAACATCATGCACCAGACATCATGTCACCATAAAGTACTTCACCACATCACAGATGTAAACTTTGAACTTTGCACATCGTCGCTGGCAGTGCTGCGGGCCGTTTTGACTGGACGTCTCTACTCTACAATACCCATCCTACGAACACGAACGATTGGACTTACTCCTTTCGGTTGAAGGAGCTTTTCTCTTCTTGCTTTCTGTTTTTCGGACCTTTAGAACTTACTCTTTTCCCTTCCTTTCTTCTTTTTAGAGCTGTCGCCTACCTCAATCTGTGACCTGCAGGAGCTTTGCGGCCTTGAGCTGAAGCAATACCTCTCTGGCTCTGACGTGCTGCACCAGGTCAGGGTAGACTTTGGGCCAAGAGATGGGGACGATGCTGACAGGACTCACTGTGACACGCGGGGGCATAACGCGGCAATGGCCAGGGTACTGTTTCCCGACAGCTTGCTTAACGTATCAATATCAGTCGGCAATTGCCAGACTTCAATCCCTGCCTGGCCAGTTGATGTTCTCCACCGTTCTGCTTCATTGGTATCTCTTCAGAGATGGCCCATCTGCGCCAAAGAAGGTGGGGATTGAATGGTTTCATTGCGCTTGACGAAATGTGTTACACAGACTCTGAAAGCTGGAGTGAAACGGGTGTAGGATACGGTACAGCTGAGATCAATCGAGATTCAGGATCTATATATATATATATAATCACGAAAGCTAGCGAAGCTAGCTGGAGTTACTCTTGCGATAGCAAGGTTTCTTTCGACTGGGTGCAAATCCTAACCCCTGATTTTTCAGGTCGAAGACCCCCCCCCAC